ATCAACTCTGAACTTTACAACGAAATAGAACGGTATTTAAAGGTAAATAAAACCTAATACAATCTTAATAGAACTAGGCAACAATTAAGGTAAAAGTCTAAACTAAAAAGGACACAAAATTCGGCTTTAAACTTCCTTTATTGAAGCACAAGTAAGCTGCCAGCAAACAGTCAAAAGGCAGCTTTCGTACTAACTTCGCGCCTTATGTTCGAGGCCTTCCAGAGGTCCAATTCTTCATCCAATTCCTTCCCTTTGTTCACAAACATACCTAGTTTCATGTTGAGGAATACTTTGGACTTGCATCAGATCCATACTCCTCGAATTAAGCTCCAAAGTAGGTTTCACAAAACAGTTTCCAGACTTAACCATTTTCTGGCAGTTTTCCAGTTTTGAGGTAGGAACTTTGAGACCTTGGAAAACAACCTTAATGACATCATCTGGATCAAAAAACCATTCCATTGGAAACATGAAAACTTTATCTGCAAAACAAACCCTTAACCTTGAATTTCCACCAGGCCAATTGAGAGAACCATGCCTCCAAAGTAGGTATCTCGAAACTGTCCCAACACTTAACCAAATTCTGCCTTTCTTCTTCCCAACTTCGATAGCTTCTTTGTCAAGTAATTGTGACGTGAATGGTTGGAAATTTGGGATCATATCAGGCCCTCCCTCTTGAAAAAGTGTTTCCCTCAACACTTTGGCCTTTCGTTGCTCAAACTGTTCACTGAATTGATCCCAAATTGGATCGAAAGAGGGCTGCTCGATCGTTTTTCCCTGCAGAAAATTGTCACTGGTGCTTGCCACCTGGTGTTAGTGAAGCGAGACAAACAACAACGTCACTGAAACTCGTAGAGATGAGGGTCATTGGCTTTGGTATTCAAATGTTGGAAATGCACTATCTTTTTAAGCCATTATAGAAATGGCTTGCCAAATAGTTTTCCCAAAACTGAAGATGAAGCGGGCTCGATGCTTGAGATTTAGCTCATCCGTGATGAACTGAGAGCCGAGAGAGAATGTTCTAGTTGGTATAGTGGGCTTTTGATAACGAGCTTGCAACAAAGCAACACATACAAATTACAATACTCATACGATGTTATTGGTCTGCTCAGAAAACTTGGGTATATTATTTAGGGGTGTGCAATAGTTCGGTCTGTACCGAACAAGGTTGTTATAATCTCCTATCGGACTCCCGGTTGGACTCGGTCTGACCTAAGTCGGGCTTCAAAACGGCCTCCAGAAAGCTCCCTAGTCTGACCTCTAAAGAGGGAGAAAGAGAGTGGGAATAGAGGAAGAGGAACGAAGGAAGGGAGATGGTGGGTGAGCCATGGAGGTTAGGTAAATTTATTTTGTGGAAAATGAGTTTTTTTTGTCAAAAAATGGAGCGCTTAAAGGGCGCCCCAACCTTTATTCATTAATAAACGGGGAGTTTACACCCCAATACTGTCGAAATACAACTAGTAGGCTAATGTACTAGAGGGAACATCAATAACATGGACCCCTATAGGATAACTATGACCGATGGAAGCCAAGTAGTCAGCAACGTAGTTCCCCTCCCTATAAACATGCTCGATCCAAACTTGCCAAGGCTGTTGAAGCCATCGACGGATATAAGCTTTGGCAACGAAATGGGGATGATGCTCTGAAGTTGTCTCGATGAGAGTTTTTTCCATAAGAGAGTCGGTCTGGAGAATCACCTTCCTAGCCCCGAGTTCCCAAGCAAGTTTCAGTCCCTTCCCAATTCCAGCCAGCTCTGCACGGGTAAGCGAACGCCCCCAGGTTCGCAGTAAAAGCTCTGATGAAGCGGCCATCGCCTCCTCAAACGATGCCGCCAGCTGTCGTGCTTGAAGGATAATGAAAGACCGAGCCGTCAGTGTTTAGGCATATCCAGTCTGGTGGTGGTGACTGCCAGTGGATCAATCGACTCACAGGAGGCCCCCCTCCTGCGAAGATCTCGTTCTTCTTGTCGAAGGCAGCAAGAATCTGCTGCTTTAGCTGCTTTGTGTGGAACTGGATTTGATCAGGGGACTGTAACTCACCTTGGAACACGTGGCTATTCCGGTTTTTCCACAGAAGCCAACAGGTGCAAGCAAAAAGGGTACTATCCACGATGGGGCTTCTTCCTGCAATGTAATGGAATAGCCATTGTCTCAAAGGTTGGCCAAAGAAAACTTCATCAGGTTCGGTGTCCAGAAGATCAGCCCAAGTAGCTCTAGCCATTGGGCACTCCCTCAAGATGTGCGTGGTAGTCTCCGGCCCGCCACCATAGAGTTTGCACGAACTGTCTTCGGTAAGATGGCGCGTCTTCTCTCCGATTAGTCAGGAATGGGATGGAGAAGTACATGCGCAACAATTGAAGGGGGTAAGAAAACACGCAAGTAATCAACATTCCACTCACCATTTAGGATGAAATCCACCACAGGAAGATGCAAGGCCTCCTAAGGAATCTCTGTGGAGAACGACGATAAAGGTTCACCATCGTTGAGCCAACGGTCCCTCCAGAACCTCGCTGACGTTCCAAGCAGACGCAACTTCGATCAGGTTCCACACCCACAGAGCACCTCACCATAGGTTTGAAATTCTTCCCTGGGAACGGGGCACGTACTCACCCTCTCGGAGCTTAAAGTACTTGGCTCTAATTAGACGGACCCAAAGCTCCTCAGGGTTGGTCAACATCCGCCAGAATAGCTTCAGCATATAAGCATCGTTAGTGTCTCTCGAGTCAAGGAGAGCCAGCCCTCCCTCCTCTTTCGAGGCACAGAGAGTAGCCCAGTCCACAAGATGTACTTTCCTGGCGCCCTCCGTGCTCCTCCATACAAATCCCCTGATTTTTTTATCGATGTAGTCGTGGAAACTGGCCGGGAGAAGAGTTGTTTGCATGGTGTAAGCCGGGAGGGAAGACAGCACGGACTGAGCCAGGGTGACCCGAGCCACAAGGGACATCGTGGCTGCCTTCCAACCTGCAAGACGAGAGTCAATGCGATTGATCAAATCAATGTATGTCGACTTTGACACTCTATCGTGAATGACCGGGACCCCCAGGTACCGTCCCAGATTAACCGTTTCTTGGATCGCCATCGAGGATGAGATCAGGGATCGCAGCTGAAAGGCCACATTCCTGGAGTAGAAGATCCTCGATTTCGGCTTGCTCACTTGTTGACCCGACGAAGCGCTGAAAGTATCAAAGCAATGGTTAATGGTCTCAGCCTGGTGTAAAGACGCTTCCCCAAACAGGATGAGGTCGTCAACAAAGAAGATGTGAGATAGCGATGGGGCATTGCTGGTGATTTTGATGGGTTTCCACTGCCCTTGCCGCACCGAGTCTGTGATGATGTGCCCCAAACGTTCCATACAGAGAGTGAAGATATAGGGCGACAATGGGCATCCCTGGCGGAGCCCGCGAGAAGGCCGGAAGGGATCGGACAAACCCCCGTTCCATTGGATCTGCATTGAAGTCGAAGTAATACACGCCATAACCAACTCCACGAAGTCCAAAGGTGCTCCGATAGCTTGGAGCGTGTCCTTGACAAAACTCCACCTGATTCGATCATAAGCTTTTGCCAAATCCACTTTCACAACCATCCAGCCATTGCGTCCCTTTTTAGCTCGCATCGAGTGAACTACCTCCTGAAGGATACATATATTGTCTGTAATATGCCTTCCTGGAACGCAACTCGTCTGGGTTTCATGAACTAGGGAAGGCATCAACGACTTGAGACGCTCAGCTAAACACTTGGTTAGGGTCTTGTATGCCACATTGCAAAGACTAATGGGTCGAAACTGCTCGATGTAGACCGGGTGTTGAATTTTAGGGATTAAAACTAGGATAGTAGAGTTGATTCCCTCGACCTGACCCTATCAACCCAACAAGTCTGTACCAGCTTCGTCAATGACTCACCAACGACGTCTCAGCAATTCTAGAAGAAAACCGGGCTAAGGCTGTTTGTACCTGGGGCCTTGAGTGGCCCCATGCTCTTGATGACATTACGGATCTTGTCGTGAGAAGGAGAGGCAACAACTCTCATCCACGTAGCCTCATCAAAAGAGTGAAATGCATGGCCAAGGTTGAGAAAGACCTTGTAGCTCTTCCGGGATATCAATCCAATTCCCATCAGGACCCTTTAGAGCAATAATGCAGTTCTTCTTCTTCTCATGATAGTGTAGGTGTGAAAGAACTTCGTATTTTGGTAACCCCATTTGATCCATTCTTGGCGAGATTTCTGGCACCACATGATTTCCTCCTGGAATAATATAGTCTCCAACTCTTCCCGGGCAGCTGCTAGGCTAGGCATGGAGTTCAGGCCCCTATCTTGGAAAATGAGTTTTTAATATATACATGTAAGATAAATTTTATTTCAGCAATTAAATATTTAATTACTACCTTATTTGTATATATATTTAAAAAATGTCTAAAACGGCTCAAACCGGTCGGGCCCCGATCAAACCAACAAACCTCAAACCCCTTGTTTAACCGGCTCAATGACTTAAACTGGTTTGACAACCTTGATACCGAACCATACCGGATCAAATCGAAGTTTGGATCAAACTGCATCGAACCGAGTATAATACGGCCCGGTCCTTGGTTATCATAAATTTTATAATTACTGAAGAAATGATGGACCAAACTGATATTTGGACCAAACCGAACTGAACCAAATAGATCGAATACAATTGTAATCCTGTCTTTGGTCCTAAAATATGGTTCTTATGAGCTTGATCTAATCCGCACCGAATCAAATCTTTGCACACCCGAGATATATCGACTGCCTCTTTCTGGTTCTATTTTACAAATTGATTGTCCTACTCTTCTTCTATAATCCATTATTAAGTAGTTAAAAAAAAGCGCAAGCATTTGGCAATTGGCATCGTCGCGGAATATTTTAAAATTCTTCTTTTGTAAAGAAAATGGAAATATAAAATGGAAAATAGATACGCTGTGGAACAATGAAGTAAAAAGGAGAAATAAAGCACCCTCTCTCGCCTCCGCAGCACCCAGCACCCCTCGGCCGCGCCTATAAATAAAGTAAGAAGCAGTAGCGCTGCCGTCTAAAAGGAGAGAAAGAGAGAGAGCTTCTCCGCTCCCGTTTTCTCCTCAGTTCAGTAGTTCATTGAGCTGAACTCTCCCAAGGATTGGCTTAACTCACCCTCTTATCAATTGACTATAACTACAGTTGCTCTTTCTCCCGGCGAAAAGCCGCACAGTGATTCGGCGATAGATTGTCTGCGTCAGAGTGAGGGGAAAGCTTCATGGATGCTTACGCGCTTCATCTGGCCATGGCGGCTCTGGTCGGAGCATCTTTCGTCGCCGTATCCGCTTATTATATGCACCGCAAAACCCTAACGCAGTTGCTGGAGTTCGCCAAGACCGTCGAAAGAGAAAGAGAGAGGTCGGACAAGGAGGAAGAGAACTACTCCGACGGGGACTCTGCGCAGCATTTGAAGAAGCGGCGTAGCAGCCACAACAAGAAGAAGGGGAACGGTTACTACCGCCGCGCCTCGGCGTCGCTACCTGACGTGACGGCTATATCCGGCGGGCCGATTGACGGAGAAGAGAGGCGGAATGGCCTGCTACACGTGGACGGGATTCCACCTGGCTTGCCGAGGTTGCACATGCTGCCTGAAGGTATGGCTATGTCGTACCTTTTCGCCGGAGTGATGAAAACGGCTTGAATTGACGGCTCCGTGCAATTTATATATATCTATGGAAGAATGGAGTCCATATTTGCAAGATCACTTGTTTCGACTTGAGTAGCCCTGATATATTCTGTGGATGCTGATCATACTCATTTTCTATGTTTTGGTTGCCAATCGTCTTGCGGAACTGATTTTAGTCAGTAGTTAAACGCGTTGGATGTTCATTTTTTCGTGCTTATTGAGAGATAGGGCACCATTATGTAAGAATAACGATTTAATGGGATAAAAGTTGATGTGTTAGAACTCGGAAACCAGTCAAAATAGTAGCTTTTTTCTGTGAATGGGAAAGAAAAACTGAATGAAGGCATTTACATTAGCAGGGTTTATCGGTGCTTATCAGAATCTCTATTCAAAACTGAGGGTTTGAGTCATGTTTACACAAATTAGCTAAACACAGTTGTTGTATAGTTGTAATTGATAGTGTGAATTACCAACTTTCGCTTCTATGGATCCGAGAACAAAGATTTATATTTTGCGCCTTTCTTACCATTAATTCTTATCTTGGTTGAACAATTTAGAGAGCAGGGTAGGGGTGGGCTTTCTTTAACTATGCCATTCTTTCTTTTCAGGTAAATCTGCTGGACATACTAAGAGAGCTGGAAATCTCATTAGACCAACTTCTCCAAAGTCTCCTGTTGCCAGTGCTAGTGCCTTCGAGAGTATAGAAGGGTCGGACGAAGAAGATATTATTACTGAAGATATAAAGCTAGACACCACTTACATGCTCCCTAATGGAACAGCTGTGAGTGTATTTATTTTGTGTGATGCAAAGAACTGTCTGTCACCTTGAAGCATTTCATGTCCATTCATACATTAACATTGCTTTTCATTCTCTAGCCTTTGCCTCCCCCATTTGATTATGCCTTTTTGTTTAAGCTCGAGAGGATTTGTTTCTGAACCTTACATGTTCAGGAGAATTTATCAGACCAAATTCACAACAATGGGGAGCAAATTGCCATCCCTGCTGCAAGCATGATCCGTTCACATAGCGTATCTGGTGACCTACATGGTGTCCAGCCTGACCCAATTGCAGCTGACATTTTGAGGAAAGAGCCTGAGCACGAAACTTTTACACGACTGAGAATTTCTCCAACTGGTATCAATTGCCTACTCTCTGCATGATGAACTTGTTTGACAACAGTTACCTTCATTTTCAATGTGGCTTTTCTTACCTGCAAAATGTTTCTGGTAGCAAGCATGATGAGCAGCATGTCATGAGACGCTTAACTAATTATGAATGATAGCATTTATGTGTTGATATATGCCACTGTATAAGTAACTGCTTAAAACAAACCGGGGAAGTTGTAGACATGCACATAGAACCTGAAACACATACAGGCAATGGCATTGCTGTAATCGACTCTTTCACTGCTGTCTTCAATGCTTCTGGCAGAACTATTGCTTAATAACTTCTTAGTTTGCAAGTGTTCAATGTATAAAATCTCTGGGATGCTATTGATTCTTAGCTGGCATTAAAAGTTTTCTTATTGTTTAACCTTTACCAGAGGTACCCTCACCTGATGAAGCGGAGGCATACATTGTTCTGCAAGAATGTCTTGAAATGAGAAAAAGATATGTATTCAAGGAAGCTACGGCTCCATGGGAAAGAGAAGTAATTTCTGACCCTAGCACGCCGAAGCCTAATCCAGAGCCTTTCTTCTATGCTTCAGAAGAGAAGTCCGATGTGAGTTGATATGCTTGGTCCCTATACCTGGACAAGATTATAACTCTTAATTTCTTTTCCCCTCTAATCTGACTTTTATTTTTCTTCTTGAAGCACTATTTTAAAATGCAAGAGGGTGTAGTTCATGTATATCCGTGTAAAGACTGTAAGGAGTGATATTCCTCAGCTCTAGTCTAGTGCAAATTATTTGTCAAAGGTGTGGATGTGTATGTGTGTTTAACTATGCGTTTGCTCTTCTCCAGCCAAGGAAGAGCTATTTCCTGTTGCTGATGCAACAACCTTTTTCACTGATTTGCATCACATACTCAGAGTTATTGCTGCTGGAAATATGAGGACTTTATGTCATCATCGGCTCAATCTTCTGGAACAAGTAAAGGCCTCTTAATGAATAATTTAATTTTGAAATTATGGACATACAATCTAGTCTTGAGGAGAAGTTTTGACCTTTTGCTTTGTTTGTTTGACAAATATACAGAAATTCAACCTCCATTTGATGCTTAATGCTGATAGGGAGTTCCTAGCCCAGAAAAGTGCTCCACATCGTGATTTCTACAATGTCAGGAAAGTTGACACTCATGTTCATCATTCTGCATGCATGAACCAGAAGCACCTTCTAAGGTTTATTAAATCAAAATTGAGGAAGGAGCCTGATGAGGTAAGGATTTGATTTCCTGTAAGTTTGAATGTCTTATGCATGTTCTTTCCTTTTTTCGACTTGGATGCTGCTTTTGTGAAAGACGAATTTAGCTTTTGGATCCAGCCAATGTAGTTAACATATGTACGTGATGTGAATATGTGATTATTGGAATCTTCCCTAACCAATTAATGTTACATGCACTTTCAGGTTGTGATATTTCGAGATGGGACTTACTTAACACTGAAAGAAGTTTTTGAGAGTCTGGATTTGACTGGGTAATGAATTCTTCAGTTATCTCTGTTCTTTCTCTAGAATGAGAATAGCATAATCTTATCAGCATTTTCTTGAACAGGTATGATCTCAATGTTGACCTTCTCGATGTTCATGCGGACAAAAGCACGTTTCATCGGTTTGACAAGTTCAACCTTAAGTATAATCCTTGTGGCCAAAGTAGACTCAGGGAGATTTTTCTTAAGCAGGATAATCTCATCCAAGGTACAACTTGTTGTCTTGGGACTCTGAAGGGTTATGTCGTAGCAGCAATTACAAATCACCTAAAGATCGTCAGTTCTGTGCCTTAGGAAAATATAAGTCGGTAACGGGAACAAAAATTGTATTTTAACTTTTAAGTACTAACGATTGCCGAAATTTGATATGGGATTCTCTATGGACCTCAACAACGACGTGAATCTGCTGGTGTATCCTTATAGCTGGCCCCAGCAGCTAAAGGCTGATAAATAACTATTTTCTTACTGTTACATTGATGCTTGATACATTCTTCACTCAATGGTCAAGCTGTTTCCATCTGCTTATTGTTTGCTCTTGGTAAATTTTGGAGCTTCCCAATATGATCTTATTGCTGTATGTTGATAACAGGTCGTTTCCTTGGGGAGTTAACAAAACAAGTGTTCTCTGATCTCGGCGCAAGTAAATATCAGGTGCTTTATGGTCTTGCTTTTTTGGAATTTGGTACTTCATGGACATAGTTTCTTGGATTCATCACCTGTTGAAATGCTACAGCCTCTGGGCAAGTATGCCATGTTTCACTACTCTCAATCAATGTATGTGAGGAAGGTCAATTTAATCTATGCCAATAGTGCAAGGAACTGCGTTGTGTTACTTACCATATTGCTTCGAGAGTTTGGGATTAGGTAGTCTTCTGAAGTAATCTTGATGGAGTTTGCATTTCCAAATTCCATCAGGAAGAATGCTGATGGAGTTACTTGCTGATATACTTAAGTTTAACTATCTGGATTGTATTTTGATGAGTGGTGCATGATGTTTTTAATGTAGATGGCTGAATATCGAATATCAATATATGGGCGGAAGCAAAGTGAGTGGGATCAGCTTGCTAGCTGGATAGTTAATAATGATCTATACAGTGAGAATGTTGTCTGGTTAATTCAGGTATTGAATAGTCTTTCTGAGGTGCATGGACACTTGGTTGTTTTATTCCTTTTCAAGGTATATTATGTATGTTTTGCATATTCCACATGAAGTGTGCTTGGCGTAACTTGAGCATTAAAAGATGCATTTGGCTTCTGTTTTATGAAATAGTTTGGAGCTTTAGTAGAAGCCATGGTTTGTTGAGTTTTGAAATATGATGAAACACATGCTTGTTGTGATAGTGGAGGTTGATTAATGTTTTACAGTTGATGATATTAGTGGTTTAAGGTACTGTAAGGAGTATCCTTGAGAAGCTTTTTTTTTCCGTTTTCTTTTTCCAGCTTCCACGACTCTACAACATTTACAAGGAGATGGGAATTGTGACATCATTTCAGAATATCCTTGACAACATATTTATTCCACTCTTTGAGGTCACTGTTGATCCAGATTCACATCCTCAGTTGCATGTTTTCTTGAAACAGGTATGACCCTTCTTCCTTCTGTTTTCTTGGATATATGTGCAATGTGACTCTGATCAGGCGCATGCCTTTATTCTTTATTGTGAAAGCCTGGATCATGCCTTCCATACCTGCTGATTTCTCTGTTTTATTTTCTTACTATCGGTCCATTTCGAAATGAAACAGAAACTACGCGATCAAAGTATCTTTCTTTTCCACTGAAAATTAAAGTCCTACAATATCAATAATGGTAAAATGTAAAATCTTCGTAGATGATTTTTTGTGTAAGGGTTACCAATGAAATTAATCGAATGTTAAATTAGTTCAAGGAAAACACTTACCTATTTTCTTAGAGTTAGTCTACTATCATACTTCCATTATACGGATTTACATTATTAATTAAGCATGTAGCTGGCTGCTGCCTCTGAATTAACAGGTCTGGTGCACCTTGTTTTGCTTTGTACCTTTAAAAAATTTTGTCCATGGTTTTGCGTACATAACTATATATTACTGATTAACGTGGTAACTGTGGAGTCTGTTCACTCAGGTTGTTGGGTTGGATTTGGTTGATGATGAAAGCAAGCCGGAAAGACGCCCCACGAAACACATGCCCACTCCAGCTCAGTGGACGAATGTGTACAACCCTGCATTTTCATATTATGTGTACTACTGTTACGCCAATCTCTACACATTAAACAAGGTCCTACACAACATTGCCATTCTACTTGCATGAAGTTCAATACTGTTTCTGTCAATTACATTGTCATCGCCTTTCTGGTCCTTTTCCTGCTTATATGGGATGGTTACTATGAAAGATCATTCGCCAGCATGTGGAGACATTATGACCTCGGAACTCTGATTATTAGAGCACTGGTTTGATGCTCTTGATTCCGTAAAATTTATTTCTGCACAATGTTTACCCTTTTATGGTTCCAAATTTTCAGCTTCGTGAGTCAAAGGGCATGACAACTATCAAACTCCGCCCACATTCTGGAGAGGTACTCGTGGAAGGGACCATAGTCATTTTTAAGTCTGTATTTTCCCCAGGACTCTAACTTTGTGAATACCTAATAATTTAGGCTGGAGACATTGACCACCTGGCTGCAACTTTTCTCACGTCTCAAAATATAGCTCATGGGATCAACTTGAGGAAATCTCCTGTACTTCAGTATTTATATTACTTGGCACAGGTATGCAAAACATTGTACCCTCACTCTAATCTTTGGATGCTGCCATGTCTAATTCTTGGTGGTACATCTTTTCCCTCTAAAAATTATCAGATTGGCCTGGCTATGTCTCCTCTCAGCAACAATTCTTTGTTTCTCGACTACCATCGGAATCCGTTTCCAATGTTTTTCCTCCGAGGCCTCAATGTCTCGCTCTCTACCGACGACCCTCTCCAGATCCACTTGACCAAAGAACCCTTGGTTGAAGAGTACAGCATTGCAGCTTCTGTGAGATCTCATTCCTTTTCCTGGGATAAATTTGCTTGCAAGTTTTATAGTGTAATTTAAGACTGCAATGAAATTAATATCTCTTCCCTTCCATTTTTTTTGGGTGAAATCTCTTCCCCTCATTCAAAGGTTTGGAAGTTGAGTTCGTGTGATCTCTGCGAGATTGCTCGGAACTCAGTATACCAGTCTGGTTTCTCTCATGCTTTGAAGGTATGGGCACTCAACCAAAGATTCAATAGGGGGACAATGCATAACAAGAAACATAAGGGAAAGGCAAAGACAAGGGGGAGAAGAAATATATGTTGTAAACTTGTAATGACAGATGCTCTCTGCTTGTTTCAGTCGCACTGGATAGGGAAGCAGTACTACAAGAGAGGACCAGATGGTAATGACATTCACAAGACAAATGTACCCCACATACGTGTTGAATTCCGTGACACGGTATTTCTCGAAGAACCCTTTAGTGTCTGTTTGGAGTCTGTATAGGCTATGGGCTTGATTCCTAGAACTTTTTTGTTTTGGCATTCGTTTCACTTGTAGATCTGGAGGGACGAGATGCAACAAGTTTACCTTGGAAAGGCCGTTATCCCCTACGACGTGGATAAATAAGTTGGCATACTAGTGGGCTGCAGGTAGATTTGATGAGCTAAGTTCCTGCAGGAGCCAGTTGAGTTCGTCGTATGGACTAAATAATTTATACAACGGAATATATGCTTGTATACAAGATTATCAAATGGACTCCCCGGCAAAAAGTAGCTCAACAGAAAGAGAAGGAGAGCCAGAATCCATAGGCCAGACTTGTACATCGTCCTTGATGAAATTTGGTGTACTTCAGAAATGAGAGGGCGGGAACAGGGCTGCAGGAGCAATGCATCAACCTCCTCCAAACAAGGAATAAGTTAGCTTCTAATGCTATTAATATATCTATAGGTGGCTGCGAAAAAAATAGCCTCAATATGCTATGCAGGTCGTAAGATGAATTTTGTACTTCGTCACAATCGACTGTGTAGGATCTGATGAGAGACATAATACGCTGTATGGGATTAAACATCAATGCTGAGATGAGTTATACTTTCAGATTGACTGCCGTGGTCCTTTTTCTTGTTCTACCTCGAAGTTCTTCTTTGACAGGTTTATCAGTTTGGACTTTGGAGTATAGTTTGACTTGTTTGAATGTCCAATGTGACATTGAAATGGAATTAGCTTATAAGTAACAACTTGTCATAGCCAATAGATAAATTTAACAAGTTCGCAGAATGGTATTTTAGTGGTATAATTGTGATTTAACGGATCATACATTTTCTTTTGGGAGATTCTGGATATCATAGTGGTACTTGAGAAAAGAAGTTCAAGGACTTACTTGACCTGTTATCCTTATTGAGATAGCTCTTTAACAAGTCCGAAGATTTTGTCTATGTTTCCTTTTCATTTCTATTCATGATTTGTATACTTTGGGTTGTTGGTTCGTATATTTGTACTATCCAGGTTGTATAAACCTTAACATTAGTTTTATAATTTTATTATATGATTTCGGTTAAAAAAAGATAAACAACTATGAGATAGTATGGAGAGGAAAAGACAAAAAAAAAATAAAAAATGAGAGAATATAGCTTTCTTATTCATGGGTTCCTTGGTACAAGAAGTATGCTATTTATACATGAATGTGAGAATGAATAGGAAATTGAAATGGGGGTGAGGGATTACATATAACACCAAATAGTGCATCTAATGTAATGGTCATCCATATGACTATTTACATAATACTCCCCCTTGGATGTAGGGGTGGGCATTAGGTTCGGTTTTACCGAACCGAACAAAAACCGATCGAGATCGAAATACATACAATTAGGTTCGAAATTCGAAAATGGATGTGGTGTATTTCGAAAACCAGACACGTTTGAACCGAACCGAATTACCGATTTAACCGACTGAATTCCGAAATAATAAACTGCCTAAGCCCCAAGACCAGCCCAACCCAACCCAGCACCCCAGGCCAATCCTAGGCCCACGCCCCACAATGGAATTGGGCCTCAGCCTGTCGAGACCACCCCAACCCAACTGAGACGTCGACCTCGACCTAAGCTAACCCTAGGAGATTGACAACTCATCTCATCGGAATCCCGATACGCGAAGCAGTTGGGATTGGGAAGTGGGAAGGAAAGGAAGAAGGTTGAAGGCGGCAACAGCCAACAGCGAATCCTCCTCTAGCGGCAAGCGGCGACTCCTCCTCCTCGGCAGGCGGCAGCTCGGGGCTCGGCTCCTCCTCCGACCTCCAGTCCATACCTCCAGACCTGACTCCAGAGTCCAGTCCTCCGCGGCCCGCGCCGTTTGCTTGCAGCCCGACGCCGACCGAGCCCGACCGCCCTTGCCACCAGCCACCGGTGACTGGAAGGTGGAGCAGTGAGCAGCCAGCCCCATGCCAAATTTCCAGTTCCAGAAGGCAGCAGGCAAAAACGGGGGCAGCAGCTGTGTTTTTCGGTTCTGGGCATTCAAACCGAACCGAACCGAGCTATAATTATAGCTCGGTTCGAATTCGGTTGGGGCGTTGGGTATATCGGAAAATCGGCATGTCCTGGTTCGGTTCGGTTTGAACCGAACCGACCGAATGCCCACCCCTACTTGGATGACCACTAGATCGCATTACGCTATCTCATGTTGCCTCATTAAAAACCTTACCAGGAAAACCCAGTGGGAAAAACCAATGGTTAAGAAAAAAAGAGTGTAGTGCGTATATGCTCCCTCTCATGACCACATCAGCTCATGTCTTTGAGTTGTCGAACTCCAATTTCATGAACAAGCTTTACAAAGATTGTTGTCAGGAGTGACTTGGTGAATAAATTTGCTAGATTCTCACTTGAACGGACCTTTTGAACAATTATTTCATCACTATTTTGAAGATCATGAGTGAGAAAGAACTTGGGTGGAATATGTTTTGTTCTATCCCCTTTAATGTATCTTTCCTTTAATTGAGCAATGCATGTTGCATTATCTTTATACATGATCGTCGATATCATTTTTCCTGGAGATAGTCCGTAAGATTCTCTGATGTGTTGAATTATAGATCTTTAACCAAATACATTCACGACTTGCCTCGTGAATTGCTAAGATTGCTACATGATTGGATGATGTGGCTGTTATAGCTTGTTTTGTGGGCGTCATGCAATGGTTGTACCACCACAAGTGAACAAATATCATGTCTGAGATCTACCATTGTGGGGATCTGAGAGATATCATGCATATGCATATCCCACTAAATCCAACTTCGATGCACCCGAATAAAACAAGCCCATATCCGTCATTCCTCGAAGGTAACAAAGTAAATGTTTAACTCCATACCAATGTATTTTAGTGGGAGAAGAGCTATATCTTCCCAATACATTCACAGCAAACGATATATCGGATCGTGTGTGACTAGTTAGATACATTAATGCTCTTATTGCACTAAGATATGACGCTTCGGGGCTGAGCAGTTCTTCATTACTTTCTCGAGGTCTAAATAGATCTCTTTTCACATCAAGTGATCTTACAACCATTGGATTACTCAATGGATGCGTATTGTTCATATAAAATCGTTTAAACACCTTTTCAACATATCCTTCTTGATGCACAAATATTTCATCCTTCAAATGTTCAATCTGTAATCCAAGGCAGAACTTTGTTCTTCCTAAATCTTTCATTTCAAAGTCTTTCTTCAAGCAATCAACTGCTTTTGGAAGCTCTTCAGAGTTTCAATGATATTTATGTGATCAACATAAACTAATATTATAACAAGGATTGTACCACATTCATCCAGATTGTTTCAATCCGTACAAGGATTTATTCAATTTGATAGAAAAATTTTCTCAAGAATGTGTCTTGCTTGCTTCTGGAAAAGTGAATCTCTTCAGGAGTTTTAATGATATTTATTTCATCAACATTCTCAAGTAATCCATACAAATAGGCTGTCACAACATCCATTAGACGCAGGTCTAGTCCTTCTCGAACTGCCAAACTAATCAAGTATTGAAATGTAGTTGAATCCACCACAGGGGAGTATGTCTCTTAATCAATGTCAGATCTCTGCGAAAATCCTTGTGCGGCAAGACGTGCTTTATATCTCACGAACATAGTTAGTAAAATACGGTACGGGAAAGTTACATATAAAATACGTACAGGTAATTTACTTCGTTTCTAAGATAATGTTACGTTTAATAATACGTTAATAGTCATAAATATATAAAAATGAATTATTTTAAAAATGAATAAATATATAAATAATAGTAAAAGTAGCAATTTAATTCATTAAATACGGATATTAAACGTGTTATACGGGTTTTATACATGTTTAGTAGGGAATCCATCAAATGAACGGGGAAAAATGAAACGTCTTGACAATAATACAGATACGAAAGTTTTAAACGGATAAAATACGTACGGGTACATATATGTTTATTAAACGGAGTATTTACCAACTATGCTCACAAATTCACCCTTCTCATTTCTTTTTCGCACAAAACCCCATATGTATCTCACTGGCATTGCATTTTCTGGTGTAAGGACTACGGATCCAAAAGCCTTTCACTTTGAAAGCGAGTTCAAATTTTCCGTTCCTGCTTTTATATATTGTGTAGATGGTCTACCTCTTAGTTGATATGGTCGACCTTTCTACTTGTGTGTCCCTGACAGACGGCCGAACTATGCAGGTAAATGGTTGACTGTAATTTTCCAATAGAATGTATATATTGGTATACATGGTCGACCACGACTTCTTTCTGGTCGACCATTTTTTCCATGTCACGATAACTTGCAAGTTACTATTAACATACCCTATATGTTATATTGTTATTTGTATACCATCCATTATTGGTTTATACACTTTTATTTTATGGTTTATATACTTTCTATTTGGCTAAATTACATGTTTAGTCACTCACATTACATAAATATTTCACGTTTGCCACCCGAATTACTTTTCTTTCATATTCGCCACTAACTTTACGATTCGTTTCAACGTTAGTCACCGACCGTTAGTCTCCGTCAGACTCCGTTAGTTTTTTGATGACGTGGCAAACAGAACAGCTGACTAGGCTGTTAAATAATGACATGTCAATCTAAAAAAAAATAATTAGACAAAATCAGGCCCCACCTTCCCCTCCCTCGTCTTCTTGGCCTTCCCCACCATGGGGTCTCAAGTTCTCAACGCCATTTTTCATTGTAGCAGCTCTCCCCCTGCCCCTGCTTCTGATTCGAAGTCCTCTCCCCAAAACCCCAATCCCAAGCCCGTCCACAGGTTGCCGCCACCACCGCATTACCCCCTTGTTCCTCCTCCTGCCGACTCGTCGCCAAATTCGGAGTCGGAGCCGATGGTGCTCGAGGAGAAGAAGGATATTCGAGTCAGGAAATCAGTAGTGGAAGAGGATATTTCGGAGCAAATGGAATATGCACTAGAGTTGAGTTTGAAGTTTGAACCTCAAAATGCAGCTGGCTTCAGCTTAACCAGCATCGCTCCCCACCTGCAGCGTGTATTTACATTTTCTTCATTCTACGCGGTCTCTTCCCTAACCCCAGCTTGCTAGCGTCACCCTGGCTAACTAGGAACCATGTCAATCCCTTCCCTTCCATTTCAATCTCCACTTTTCATTTCCACCCACCGCCTCTGGTACCCTCTTCTATTCTTTTCACTAAATTTTCATTTTTCTCTTTCTTCAAAATAAGGTTGGTTGAGGTCTGGAAGTAGATTCAGCTTGTTAAACCAGAGGATGAATCACCAACATTTGCTCCGAAATCTCATCTTCCACAACTGATTTACCGACTCGAATTTCCTTCTTCTCGAGCACGATCGACTTGGATGTAGTGGCGAGTGGCAGGAAGAGGAACAGGGAGTAATGTGGCGATGGCGTCAGCTTGTGGATGGGCTTGGGATGAGGGGGTTTTGGAGAGAGGACCTCCTTGAGAAGCAGAAGCAGGGGCCAGGGGGAGCTGCTACGACGAAAAATGACGTTGAGAACTTGAGACCCGAAGGTGGGGAAGGCCAAGAAGACGAGGGAGGGGAAGATGGGGCCTGATTTTGTCTAAATAATTTTTTATTTTTTTAATGGACATGTCATTATTTAACAGCCCAGTCAGCTGTTCTGTTTGCCACATCATAAAAAAACTGACGGTGTCTGACGAAGACTAACGGGCGGTGACTAACG